ACTCGCCAAACCCATATATGGATAATACAGCCTTGGGCCTGTATGTGGATACCTGACTATCAAACCCATATGTGCCCATTTCAAACCCATGGGCATTAACGCAAAGTTGGTTCCCCTTAGCCGTTATAAATAGCCTCCACTCTTCTGGGATGGCTTTCCACTAGATTTTTAAACGTGACTTGGGTATTGTCATGATGAAGCAGGTTTAGGCCTTTCAGTTGCAGTGAAGGCCAATCTTAATTCTACGGCATACAAAGTCATTCTAGACAATTGTGTACTTCAAACTTTGTGGCAACAGTTTGGAGAAGGCTGACATATGGATGTGATGGTCATGTGTTCACATACTTGTGGCCATACAGTGTATTTCTAATAAATAACTATAAATAGCAGTGAACAGTAAAAATGACTTAAAAATCAAAATTTGGTATGATCATTCATTGCGTTTTAAAACTGCACACATTCTCTTAGGTGTATTGTCATGTAGTTTTAAAAGGAAATCTGCTGGTAGGGTTTTTTTTAGCCATCTTTGTAGAACTTGCAGTAGTTATTTTGTAGACTTTGCCTGGCTCGCCTCTGTTTTTGCAGATTACTCAAGACAGCCTGAAAGATGTTTTAATCTGAAAAGTGATGAGTTTTCACAACCAGGCACTATTTGCTTTCCACTGATGGCAGGAGCTTGGAGTTGAGTTGATGATGACAGATGTTTTTCCTGATTGACTTGACACTCTGCCATCAGTCATGTTGCTTGTTGCTTCTAAAAACCTTACATTTCTAAACGAGTATTATTCATTTTTTTAAAATGTCATTCAATATTTGATAATGCGTATTAATCATGTTATACAGGCAAACAGTAGGCCGCAATGTCTTTTCAGGTAACCATAATTAAATTGTATGTTTGCATGAAAAAAGACTGTAGTCATGTGTTAAAAATGGAAAAATATTATTATTATTATAATGTAATAATGTTGCTATTATCATTATCCATTCTACTATTAACATATTTGGCCTACTAAAATGCACAGTGTTTATGTTTATCATTACATATAAAACTCATGTTCCATATTTATGGACAAGAAAATTATTATTCATGAAAACAGAGTTGTTGTTTTTTACATTCATATGGTAGGCTCATTTTTCCATGAGATTGACCGCAGCTCATGGTTTTAGCCAGGGGCAGAATTACTGCCCAACTTCAGTGTTTTTTCAGTTCTTCCTCAGACTGCTACCTGCTACGCTTGCTGACAGTCAAGGCCAGATGAAGTTGACCTCAAAAACACCTCAGTATAAATATAGATATAAGAAGCCAAGTCTAGCCATTAAATTGTAGGCTCGCTTTGGCTGAAGTAAATTGCAATTTCAAAATAAGAGTATGGTATCATGTAAGTCAACATTAGTGAGCTAATACCAGTGTTGCATGATGTAGTCTATCACTTACTATCCTTTATAGTCATATACTCATTTTTAGCCCTAAAATACTTGTCGCCATAGGCATGCTTCACCTAGCACCCTCTAGGTGTATAAAGAACTTTACAGCATAAAGTTTGACATAGCCCTGTAGATAGACAGTATATAATATAACAGCCAACTGCAGGATTTTTCAATCGCAGAAATTAACGCAAAATCAAGCAAACTGCAATATTCGTAGGAGCTTTCAATTTTTCAAAATTATCACAGCTTTTCCATATATTTGAGTGAAGATGCTCATTTGACGTCATCACAGTATGCATTTGTAAGCCCTCTTTGATTCACATGCATCAAAGATAAGTACTAAAAGGTCTCATTTACCAACAAACATCACTGCGAAAGACTGTACAATATAACTTTATGCAATTTCACCAACTCTAGCAAAATCAAGCATGTTTGGCTGCAACAATCACAAAAAAAAAAAACCTCAGCAAACTCCTGTATTCTGTACACCTATCAATTCATGCAGTTATACAATCAGCCAGTCATGTAGCAGCAGCAAAATTGCATAAAATCACTGGTGCTCTTGACGATACAGGTGAAATTGACTGTGGCGTGGTTGACTGTGATGCCAGACTGGCTGGTTTGAGTATTTAAAAAACTGGTGATATCCTGGGATTTTCAATCACAACAGTCTCTAGAATTTACACAGAATGGCACAGAAATAAAAACAAAAATATCCAGTGAGTAATACTTCTGCAGGTGGAAATACCATGTCGATGAGTGGTCAGAGGAAAATGGCTAGCCTTGTCCAAGCATACACAAAGTCTATGGTAACTTACAGAACCACTCTTTACAACCAGGGTGAGCAGAAATGCAGCTCAGTATGCACAACTGGTCAATCCTGGAGGCAGATTTAACATAGTAGAAGACCACATAGGGTTTCATTCTTGTCAGCCAAGAGCAGTAATCAGAAGCTACAGCTACACAGTCTCATAAGAACTGTCCAGGATTAGTGAAACTGTGCCCACGGTAGATTCACTCATACGCCTATAGATAAATCATCTTTTAGATTATGAAAATGCTACATTCAATGCACACTTCTTACAGGCAAGGATAAGGGGTCCAACAATGCCTGTCTGGCAGGGATTTGAACTGACAACCTTCCTGTCACTAGTCTAAAACCTTGACTACTTAGCACATGCTTAACCAAAAGGATTCCAGCTCTATAAATTCAAATTCCTTCACCTGTTTGCAAAAAAAAAATCATATATACAATATAAAGTTGATTAACACTATACAAAGCAAGACTACTAATGTTTCTTTTTGAATCATTGTTCTTCATGCATTTAAAATAGCTGCATTGATATCCTTTCTTTGAGTTATCCAATCTTTAAACACTCCTTCTTGCCCCGTTACTCCTAGCGCTCCACCGGGTCTGTCATGGCGTCGCACCCTTGCCTCCTCTTCTGTTTACTCTGCTGCATAAGGTTGTGTTCAATCATGTGGATGTGTTTGACAGCTATGAGCACTGCCCTGCCAATGTTTACACTCTCCAATTTCCTCAGTGATCATGCTGTTCTTGTATAATCACTGTGACACTGGGGAGAGTGGAAGGATCTGCTGAAAAAAAAAAGAGCTATTTAGTTTAGTTCTCAAACTGGAAATGTTCAATCACAGAAATATATGATTAACACGTGTTCTTTTCCAAATCTGCACAACTTATCCACGTCTTCATGCACCATAGTTATGAGTTGCAAGGGGCCTTTTGGAAGTCTTGTTAAATAATGAAGTGAAAAGAAAGTAAGTGAAATGAGTTGCCAAAATGCCACATATATCAACATATATAATAAACATATATATCAGTATAACAGGATAACCATAAACTCGTAAAGTTGTCGTATATTATGCTAATTTACCAAAACTTTGATGAACATTTACATTAATATCTTCATTTTGGTACTGTATTGACCTTTAGCAATTGCCATATTTGCTGTGTTCTCACTCTGGGCTGAGTTTCTCAAAAGCAAAGTTAAGATCATCTTAAGTGGGAAGGAGAAAGTTCAGTGTGATACAAAAGCTGTCATAATAGTATACGCCATGTTATAATTACAGTAATTATGAGATTCTGACTTGTAAAAAGTGTTCACGTCCTCGTAGAAGTCGTAATTGCGACTTGTGAACTATGAATTTTCTGAGAGCTCCGAGTTGTACCGACTGACTGCTGCAACATCATGCGGAAACACTCAAATCAGCGGCAGCTTCAGCAGTAAAATGTAATTCTGTGTAATCATTTGTATAATTGATTATTACTAATGTGTTAACAATGCAAGATTAATCTGAAAAGAAACAAAAGACAGTACAGTTTGAAGAAATTTTGCAGTTGTCAACAACATCTCACTCAGATTCATTTAATTCTGAGTTTGAGGACGGGAACAGATCCGAGTAAAACGTTCGTATTGTCATCTAGTAATTACAGTAATTCTGACGTGGCATGAACGCAGCCTCACTCTACTCTTTAATGATGATCTTTAACGATGCTTTTGGGAAACTCACTTCAGCTGTTCTATTCCTCAAACCTCATGACAATTTCAGACTGGCAATTACAATCTAAACACAGCTGGGTGGCAAAATCTGTGAAAGTCACTGGCTATATCATAATTATTGACTTTACTTCAATTCAACAGCCAAGAAATGTGTGGCAGCCTGGGAAAACCTGTCAGATGTCACTGTAACTCAGTTCTTTCTGCTTATAACGTACTCTTATGCTTCTACTTTAAAAAACCATGACTGTATTTCACCAAAACCACATGGAAAATTTATTTCTATTTATTTAGCTTATTTAGTTTCTAATCTTGCCTAAACTATCTGCCAACTAGGGGTGTGCAATGTCACTGTCTGTATCTTTATATGTATCTGTATGTATCTGGTTAGTGCTCCACATATCTGTATCTGTTTTCATATTTAAACCTGCAGCGGTTGTGACCTAAATTGGAGGGTTTATTAAATATGCACCTTACCACTCAGTTTCCCCAGAAATGCTGGAAAACACATTGTCTGTGCATTAGGGCTGCACAATTAATCGAATATCGATCGCGATTACGATTTTGACGGCCCACGATTAAATGAACAAGATCGACCGCGATATTATTGATTAAAGTTCATCGAAAACTCTGCTGCAGATCAAATCAAGCGTTTCCTAAACTTACAGCCAATCACCATAGAGCGGCGTAGGGAGGACGTCATTTTGAAGTGTCAAAACCAGGAAACGGATTTAGCTTTTTAGCCCTCAAGCTGCCAGTTTCGCTTAAAGCTCCAGTGCTTTGTGCGAGGAGAAATCATGACATTAAAATGATGCTATATGGCACTACAGAGGTTGTCAGGGACATTAAACATCATCAAGCCGAACGGGAAAAAACTGCAGATAAACTCAGGGCTCTACAGTGCCACCATTTCACTCGTATTTGTGACTGAAAAGTATTTTGTGCGACTGTGAATAAATATTTATTTGCACTGCTGCGAGTGACCTGTTTGGAGTTGTATAATACAATCTTCGCGCAGAGTAATTGATAATAATGCTAACACTACAAGGTGGGCGCACGGTGATTTAGTGGTTAGCACATTCGCCTCACACACCGCCAGGGTCGAGGGTTCAATTCCCGCGGCTCTGTGTGAGCGGAGTTTGCATGTTCTCCCTGTGCTGTAGGGGTTTCCTCCGGGTACGCCGGTTTCCTTCCCCAGTCCAAAGACATGCATGGTAGGTTGATTGGTATGTCCAAAGTGTTCGTAGTGTATGTGATTGTGCCCTGCGATGGATTGGCACCCTGTCCAGGGTGTACCCGCCTTGTGCCCAATGCTCCCTGGGATATGTTCCAGGTTCCCCGTGACCCTGAAAAGGAGTAAGCGGTTGAAGATGGATGGATGGATGGATGGATGCTACAAAGTGCGTTTAATTCAAACTTCTTTATTAAATAATTCCTCACCAATCATAATTAAAAGTAGCATCTGTTCAGTCTGTAAACAAACAGTACACTGCCGCTCTCCTTCACTAACTCACATCATTTTCACATCATCAGGGTTGCCAGATACCACTAGAAAAGTCAACTCCAGTTTCCATGTTTTTATTTAATCCATAATATTATCAGCATATTATCATGGCAACACTGTGCTGGGGGAACCGATCTAAAACTGATAAACGAACAAAAATAAAACTACTAAAATGCAAAGACAGAAAATGTGCTTGGTTATAAATAAATCATTTAATATAAAAAATAGATATTATAATCACTTTATTAAATATAATAAAAATGAGAAATGAAATAATGTTTCATTACTATGGGTTGCATTTAATATTAATTTTACATTAAGCTTAGTTCACTATTTCCTTAGAGGGATATTAGCCTTTTTCCTAACATGGATCATGCTTGTGTTAATCTACTTTTAATTAGGACTCTTTATTGTTTAAAATATTTACAAATAAATATTTTGTGCTTGTTTATTTATCAAATAACCAACAGTATTTCTCAGTGCTATTATTTTAATTCAATTAACAGTGATCATGAACAGAGAGCTTACATTTAACTGTTTATGACAGATGCCCTGATTAAAGTTTAAACAAAAAAGATTGGTATCTGGAACGGTATCAGCTATAAAAATCCTGATTGGAGCATCCCTAATGAACACCATTAAACTAAAGCGCTTTGCATCTGACGGGTAAATGAACTCACCCAATCACATCCTACATGAGATTATTCAGATATATACACAATATACACAGAGCGGTTTGAGAACTGACTCCAGCCCAGAACCATGACAGTGAAAAACATCTAATAGTGTAGCTTTAAATATATTTAAGACGAGCAGATTTCAAACACTGAACATTGATGTTTATTGTATTTGTTTACAAGGTGGAACAGGTTAACTGTTGTTTTTTCAATACAGTCTGTAAAATTAACTGAAAATATAAAATTTTGTTTATCAGAAGGAAAATTAATGCGCTCACACTATGTTCCTAAATTCTGTCATAATTGACCAGCTCAAGTTTTCTCATGCCTACTTGTGTGGCATATTGTGGCATGAGAAAACTTAATAAATGTGATTAAAATATGTTGTCACTAAAATCAATTATAATCGTGATAAATAATCGAAATCTCAGTATTGATCAAAATAATCGAGATTAGCATTTTGGCCAAAATGGTGCAGCCCTACTGTGCATTCTTGCTGTAACTGTTCCTCAACCTCAGCTACATCACTAGAGACCTTAATAGGTTTAGAGATCTTCTCATGCAGTCCATGATATATTCTAAATACAAATTTAGCTGATTCTATTTCCCAAAATATAAGAAAAACTAGTAGTCTAAATCACAGAGAACCTGAGCAACTTTTCTCATCGGATCTCAGTACCAATACACCTCTGTCAACCAGATGCCCCATGAACCTTTATGGCAAGCTTGAAAACATGATTTATTTTTAGAATCATTACAAAAATATATATCTACAAGGCTTAATATATAACTATGCTCTTTAAAAAGCTGTTGAAAGGATGTGATGCTTTGAAAAATAATTAAATTAATTAAATGTTTAATTTAAAAAATTCAATGTTTTTTACATTTAAAAAACTATTGTAAGAAGCAATAAACAGTAATATACTATACATATAAGAGTATACTATACAAAGAGCAGGGATAATTATGTTATCTTGACTTGACATAGGTGGTTATAGGATCATACGGCTCAAAGCATGTAATCTCCCAGTGATAGGGTGAACACCAAACATCTTCTTGATTATTCAAGTATCTGCAACATGGCATTTAGTGCAACAACTTCTTTTCAGTCTCTGTTTAAGAGATGAATGGCTAATTACAGCATGTCCTCAGTGAACATAATGGCTGATGACATTTAGTTCCTGTTAACACGTGAAACCATTTCGGCTAAGCGGCCTTCATTCATCGTCGATCAGCTAATTGAGGGAGTGTGTGAAAAGAGGAATTGTGCACATGCTGATGTGGTGATTAATATCTGGAACAATACACAGTGCCGTAGACTAAACCTTCGCAATGACAGTTTTCAGAATCTAATCCAAAAATGTATTTTATTAGTTTTGTCTCACACCAACAATCTAAGAAAATCCTACCTACCCAATGACTATTCAAGTAGTGAATATTTGTTGTTCCATGAAGGATTATTGCCCATGTTGAAATTGTACATAAATGCACCGAAAAGATGGCTTTCCAACATTTCATTAGGTTTTCAGTGGTAATCAACTGGAGGAACATAAAAAAAAACCTGAGACCATTTCTGCATCCTTTCCAGATCCTCTTTTTCGGTTAACACGTAAAAAAAAAAAAAAATGGAGTAAGAGCACTAAGGACACTAGATACTTGTACACTATAAGAATTGAACTCTAGGAAAGCATACAGACCTCTCATTATTATGAGTACACTGACTAACGGGCAATAACAAGAGGAATGATCCGAGATTGGTGGAGACAATGACCAGCGCAGAGATGGAGGTGGGAAGACAGGAACTAGAAAACAGTGCACAGGAAAGAGAAAGCAAAACAATGGTAACAGAAAGCGATATAGTTGACCACAGCTACAAATGTGATATTTTCATATTTTATTTTATTTAAAGGAGTTTATGTGGTTTGGTTTTCACCATGTTTGATTTATGAAGGTCAACTACCATTTGTTTCATTATATTTCAAGATCACAGTATATTCTCTGATGTTCTTCGTATTGCTGAATATCTCAAGGACACTAAGTTTGCCTGTTACATAATTCCCAGAAAAGCAGAAAGAATGGATATTTATGAGTTAAAGTATGCTCACATACAGCATGTTTGAGAAAACGGCATTTTATTTTATAGATAACTTTACACAAGCTGCCAAATATTTTTTAAAAATTAATTAATTACACGACGTGCCGATTAATTAATTGCAATTAATTGCACATCCATTTTGGCTGGTCCAAACTGATCCCCAAAAGATCACTTAAAGTCTTTATTGTGTTGGATGAGAAAGCTTTTTCTCATTTGACTTGAATCTTTATAGAATTTATTACACATAAACTTTTAGGTTGTACCGGAGGACGCAATTCAAAATGTTTCCTTAAACCCCTTGTCTTCCACCATATTAACAGGACTAGAGTTCGCAGCAATCCATTTAGCTATCGCATTTGTTAGTTTTTCCGATGTAGACGTCAGTGTGGTTTGGCAGAGCCTGTTGACTGTAGCAGCCGGGGTTGCGCTAACTGTAGAGTTCAGGATTGCGTCGATGATATGCAAATTCCTTATTGCAGATAGCTCAAAAGACTTTGGTCTTATCATTGCTTCCATCTTGATGTGATTTGAATTTAACGTTTCCTTTCAGAGGGCCAAGCAGAGTTTGTTAGTCGCCTTGCATCATGCTATTCACTAAGCAACTGCATGCAATGTAAGCTGACACACAGGTCTGGGGCAGGACGGGGCAGTGTGCGTTAAACGCGTTAATCATTTTAATGTGTTACTTTTTCCATAATGAATCACGCTAAATTAACGCATTAAATCAACATTATTATATATTAGTATAAATTATATAGAAATTATAAGTTATATATTTTTAGATTTCTGTAATATTTTCATTGCCATTTGTTAAGCTTTTTAACACTTCTGATCTTCACAAGGATGCCAATAATTCTGGAAGCCACTGTAATTGACACATTTGAACAACAGCGATATACATGATCATTAGAAGTGCAGGTGAGATGCCATTTCTTTGTCGACCACGCTGATGCCACAAATAAGCATTGTTTGATGAAGATACAAGCTGATTTACATGAATGATTACCTTACAACTACAATTACAAGAAAAAGGTTGTGAAGCATTTGAAATGATTTCTGCATGATTTGCTCATAGAGAAACATTCTGTTTAAACTAATACCACAACAACTATTACTTTTCATGACTTGAAATGTACTTTGAACATAATGATTACTCATTCATGATCCATGCTGGAAAAAAATATGTGAACCCTTGCGTTTAATAATACCTCACAGCTGAGGTGACATATTGGACAAAATGCATAATGTTATGTTTAAAGGAAAATAGCTTTGCTTACTAACACGAAAAACTTTACTCCAATTGTGACTTATCCAAAGAAGACACTTTTGAACACTTTTAAATGGAGAATTTCAAAATCGTGAAACAGTAATGATCTGTATTGCACTGGAATACAGCAAAGACCTTCCAATGTTCGGGAAACACTGGTGATCTTTTGTGACAGCAAAAGACTTATGTGACAGCATCACATAATAAAATATCACTTCTTTCTTTTTCTTTCTTTCTGTAACACACACACACACACAGTGTACAATCCACTTGAGGGTGCAATTAAACATTCAAGTAATGTCTAAGAATGGCATATGATTCTGAGTTTTACTTCTCACATTTTCCACTGTTTTTCGTCATCTCTGCCGAAATCATAGCTACAAAATCGGACACAGATTCTTCTGCTCTGCTCACGAACAACTGGAAAACCTGGAAAGCCTCACTGCAGAAGGCATCCTTTGTCTTTCGTCCAGAACCTTCACACAGACAGCAAGCTGGTGCCAGAAAGTGTTTGTATTATAAAAGTGATTATTTCTATATGTCAAACACAGCATTCAGGAAGACTTACGGCCACATGTGCTGCAGCAGC